GATATCAGAACCGTCCCTGTTTTCAGATCTACGAGCATGACGACTAACGTCATCGGACGCCCTTTTAAATATCTCTTGGCGTAGATCTGTGGGGCGATTTTTCTTTTGGTTGGGCGGCACAGTTTCCTTGGGAACCTGACTTTCCGAAGACGAACGGGGCATAGCATGGGCTTCTGAGAATTCAACCCGTGATTCCTGCCTGGGCTTCTGAAGGATGCCAGCCGGATTAGTTACAGCGGCTGAAAGCTGTTCATTAGATGTTGAAAAATTCCGGGGATCAAACAGGGAAAATGGAGTGGGACGCAGCACATCTCCTGTCGCTACCGGCGCTTCCCTTTCGAAATGTCTTTGACCTCCTCCAAGACCAACACCGGAATTTCTGAACTGGAGAAGCTCGCTGCACGCTTGTTTAAATTCATCCTCCAGTTTGGTAAGCTGATCTTGCTTTTCGTACCACTCATCTCGGAGCTGTTTGTTTTCTTCATATAGTCGGTTACAATTTTGATCCTTCTCGAAGGCAGCAGCTTGTGCTTCCTTCTTCGCCTGCATGGCTTTCTCGCAGTTTGCGCACCTTTTAGCATTCTTAATATCGCTCAGCTCCTTCTGGGCTTTGCGATTATTTCCCTTTTCCGTATCCAATAATCCTTCCAGCCGTTCGATTTCCTTTTGTGCCGCTTCGTCTTTTTCCTTAGGAATGTGCATTGGGCCAACCGTGGACAGTTTATTAAGCTGTACATTAGCTTTTGTTAGATCCCGCTGCAGGGTGTCCTCTCTGTCTTTAGCGCGCTTCTTTTCATCATCTAAATCCTTAGCGAGCTTTTGAGAGGAATTTTGCGCGTCCGCTAAATTTTTACTGGTCAATTTATGCGCGTCTTTCTCCGCACTTAAATCCCTCTGTGCTTTCGATAATTTCTGGTCTAGGTCCATAACCTGCTTCGTCGTATCAGGGAGCGTTTGTGCTTTAAAACCGTCAATGGTAGCTTTCGCTGCCGACAGCTCCCTCTGAGCTTCTTCCAACTGTTTTTCCAAATGCCGATTAGCGTCCTTTAATCCGTCACGCTCATCTTTCATAGCATTAAGAGCATTTTGTGCGTTTCTGCCAACATCTCGTGACTGAGACAAATTATCGGCCGCGATGCGTAGTTCATTTACCAAACGATCATTTTCGGTTTGTTCATTTTCGAATTTAATGCGCATCTCATTAAAGTCGTTCTGGAATTTTAATTTCAGGTTACGCTCTTCATCGACTCGGGCATCCAACGACATGGAATTTCCCATTTCGTCCACTTTTAATTTCGTGGTGGCTATCCATGTCCGCAGACCCTGGAGCAGCACGGGCATCGTCTTCCGGGCGACTAATCCCACATCTTGATCGGTTTGTGTAAGGGCTAGAAGCCTATCAACTTCCTTTGCCTTAGCCAGAAATTCCTCATCAGGTTGTTCGAAGTCTTTTTCCGAAACAAACGCATGTAATTTCAATTGTGTCGGGTGAAAAGACATCCCGCCCCCCATGATACTTTTCTTTCTTGCAGATGCTTCCGGAGCTATATCCGCATTTTCACCAAACGCCATGTGAATGGGCGTATCATCCTCTGATCGGCTATCCTCATCCATATCAAAATCTGGGAGAGGTTGTTCCTTGTTAAAGGGGCTTTCCTCTGAAAGTGGCTCTACGAGCTTAAGCGGTTCTGTATTAGGTTCACTACGAGTAACTTGTTCTGTATTCTCGGTAGTTTTCGATTTTGCCGCCACCGCTCTCTTGGGTCGATCGTCAGAAACGGACTCCTTTGGTTTTATTCCAACTTTTGCAGCTGCTTCAAGCGCAATAATGGCCGCTTTTCTACGATCTTCCATATTTTTCTTATATTCAGGTAACCACTTGTAAGCTTTTTTAACTGCTTCATTAAACTGTTCATCAGTGACATCCAGATAAGCTTCTGGAATACACCGTTCAGTCTCATACCATCCATTGTAGTAAAAGGGAGCCCTTTTGTTTGGGTCCACCGATTTCCCCAACTCCTGGAAATCTACCCACGGCTTACCACAGTAAGCTCTGGAACCTTTGGGTGGTTCCAGATTGAGTGCGAAGTACATCAAACCTAACGGTATTTCGTCGGGTTTGAATTTAAACCTGGTTTGCGTCGCCGCTCCTTCATATGGACCTTGTATAATTTTATCTTCCGGGACCTGGCTTAACGCCTTATTCTTATTTTCTGGATTGGACATTCTTACGGTACGTACAGTAACTATTGTGCTACTGTTTACCGTAAACTTCAGAAATTGCGATTGTGCAATTTATTTCCACTACCCAGTCCTCCTTTAAGGTTTGAACTGCTCAGTGAGGGATTTAACCACAGCCGACCTTTGCGGTTCGACTGAAAAACTAAGTGCTAAAATTACTCGGCTGCACTTTGCGTGCTGCTGTAATTTTACACTTCGGGTCGATCACCGTTTGCCGGTGTTTACCTTTTCGCAATCCACTATCTCTAGCTGCTGATTTTGGCTACCGCTTGCGGCTTGCCCTTATCAGACTGTTAGAGAAACAGTGCTACGATACTATAATTTACTAATTACTACAGTCGACCTTTGCGGTTTCAACTGTAGTTATTAGTTTATTAAAATCACCCTGCTGCACTTTGCGTACTGCAGTGATTTTAACTCACAGGTCAATCACCGTTTGCCGGTGTTTACCTTTTCCACTGACAACTATCCCTGGCTGCTGATTTTGGCTACCGCTTGCGGCTTGCCTTTACTCAGCTACCAAAGATCGTTATCTCACCTGGCCACTGACAGTGGCTCAGTACTTACTATCTAATCTATCTGCTGGCCAGGTACACTGACACAGCAGTTCACAGTTTATTCACCGCGGTTACTGCTTTGCGCAGACAACCCGGAAATTACCCACCAAAACACCACTTAATTCACACAGTCGACCTTTAAGGTTTCGACTGTTTTCCTACGGTCCGATTTAATTAAATTTAAATTTAATTGGCGAGGAAGCTCACCAGTGAGGAAGCTCACGATTGCGAGGAAGCTCGCCAAAATAAATTAACTAGGCCAGATCAGGAACGCTGACCTCCTTCGGCGCACCTTTGCGGTTCGACGCCTTTCTTGTACGGACCACTTTTGCTGTAAATTACCACCAACTTTCCACCAATAATTTTCTGTTACATCGGGAAAATTAAAAGACACCGGTGGGCGCCATGTCGTGTATAAGCGTTCACGCCGGTTAGGGCTCCATGAACAATCTTTACTCTTCCACGCCTGTAATGCTCAGTCGGTAGGCACTCGTACTCTCAAACTGTAACAGATAATCTACGGTGGAACGACGGACGATTCGGGAACACGGGAGCTCGGGAATCCCTAACGAAGAATCCAACTACGATCTCCGGTCGCAGTTTCTACGAGGATCAACAAAGAGCTAGGACGATTGTGTCACGAGCAAACCTGTATACTAAGCGATAATCCGGGAACGACTATGCACTTCCGTAGGAACAAGTATTGCTGCCTCTTTATCAATACACTTCGTAGTCCACAACACTAGGAAATCGTAATTAGAAAGCAGTCTCAGAAGTAAATCTCAGACTACCGATACCGATATTAGAAGTGACAGGAGCTTATATAGACTCTGCGTTATGACATCACATACACCGCTAGTAAAAGAGAACAGCAAATCACAGCATAGATTGACTAGATTATCCGTATGTTGCAGGTGGAAGGCGGACAGTCAGCATCCGTACGTACATCCCGGCGTGTGATCCTACCCCCACACGTCACAGCCACGCTTTCGAAGCTTGCTTAAGCTTCTTCCGGTCGACCGTCCTACCAGCGTTCTTCAAACGGAAATCTTTAACCTGCCAACATAACCGCAGAGCGTGCACCGCGGCGGCAATGGGGCTTAACACGTACATCACGGGAGGCAGTACCAGGGCGAATGCGCAAGCGATCTGGACGGGGATGCCACTCGGTGGGGGCTGCAAAATTAAATGCGCCTAAAGTTTCGTAAATTAATGTGTTTTAGTTAATTATTACGTAGTGCCACATATGTTTAACGAGCTCTAATTTGTAGGAAGTGTGATCACGCTGGGATTCTTGTTATCTAGGCGACTACTACTTATTTTAAGTTCATTCGTATGATTCTTACGCTGGTGTTATAAGTTCTATTTTGCTGCTGAAAATGCGGGCTACCTAAATGGCAGTTCGTCTGCTACTGTTATTACACCTACATGTAGGGAATCAAGGAAAGCAATATGCTCTATGATGAAAACGGTCGATGCCCGCCGGATGCCGCTATTATAACAAGTCGGGAAAGAGCTACCGATATCATGGCAATGGCCAGGTAGTTTATGTTGAGGACCATCTTCCATATTTCATCGAGTGATGCTGTCCCACGCTGGGGATGTTGACAGGAACGGTTCGTTTCGACAAGGCTGGCCATGATGACTATACAAAGTATCTCCAGTCGCAGCATCAGCTGCGTGTGGGTGATAGTCAGATAAACAGCTTACACGAAATTGTGGGAACAATGTAATTCAATGCATTGGTGATTAATATTAATAAGTCTGGCAAAGTCTGACCGCAAAAACTTATCGCAATCTCATAAAGATCAACAGTACTGTACATTATTTCAGACTGCTATCCGCTGCATCATACACTCGCCAGGACAGAATCTGAACTGCGCTGGTTATAAGCAGGATGTGCTATTACTCGTAACTCGTGGAAAAATCGATAAGTTTACAGCGGCTTCCGAATCCGAAACACACTGCCAACATGGCAGATCATCCCTGTTACACTGTACAGTAGAAAATCTAGGGATACACCGTGGAGTCCGGACCATGCACAGCCGAATAGGCCGCCTTAGATTAAGCCATTTAAACAGGTACCTGTTATTATTTTTTGTTGTAGCACAGTAGTGCCAGTACGCTAATGCTATACTGAGAAATATTAGGTCAGTGAGGGACGAGATCGAACCTGTCTGTAATTTATTAGACCGTCCGGTACGTATAAAACAGGAAGAACCAAAAACTAAGGTCCGGTTTAGAAACAGAATTATCAGCTTCCGATAAATCTGCGTAGGCATACGACGCTCACGGTAAGCTACTCAAAACAGACGATCCGAACATGGTAAGCCGCTTAATCACGATTCATTCGCTTGAGTAGTACAGTACATCAATAACGGCTAATATAGGGTGACTTCGCCGTATTGTCTGGCTGATGCTATTAGAAGATCCAGTAGGCGTTTCGGTTTTGGTAGATCGTCAGCTTCATAATTACCGACATCATGGCGGTACCATGCGTGGAGAATTGCCGACTGCAGATCGATTAGGTGGGATTGACAATAACTTCCCACAAGATACACGAAGCTTTCAAAAATCAGCACCGGGAACAGAATGCGGCTCTGTGGCAGATAGTATCGCGTCGACGTATGGTGCATGATGGTGAAGATCGTTATTTGCAGTGCGTGAGCACCCGTCGTAGGGCGACCGATGTTAATAACGGTGTTCAACTGATGGCTGGTCCACAACCATTCTGTTGCGCTCTTTATCATCTGTTCATCTTCTACGGGCGCGTCCGGCCTCCGGCGGAATGTGCGAACCTGTATGTGCAACCGCCGAGTGCGTATGACGGCGAGAAGATGGCTGTCTGCGAAGATAAAGCAGAGTCCGCCAAATCCTACGACCGCGACCACTTGCGACGTTAGGCGAGGAGCATAGGGCTGCCAAAAAAAGCACATATTGCTACGATTACCATAACAACAATACAATAGTTTATTTCATCGAAGCCGGGAACTGGACGGTATTAGCTGCGAAAGAACTTGTACTGTGTGCTGGCAAGTAAAACAAATCGGTAAAATGGTCGTCCACCCCAAGATAGTATGGCTTTTTTCAATATGGAGGTAACAGGCCGAATAGTACGATCATGACATGTTGGTACAATCCTACACCACATTTTTCTATACGACTGAGTTTTCTCTTTCCAAATTACGCCTTAACATTGTTCAGGCTTAAATTGGAAAGAGAAAACTCGGTCGTATTGAAACCGTGGTGTATTCCCGTTAAAATGCTCCGTTTTCTTAGGTTCTTCTTGGATGCCTTACAGGTCGTTTTCTTACGTTTATAACTTGATTTCTCAAGGTAGGCAGAGTGAGCTCGAGGTCGTCTACGTTAATTTTTATTTTCTTAGGAAATGCAGTTATATGTTAGTTCGACCCGGTCGAGCCACTGTGGTACTTCAATGTATTTAGCAATATAATTTCTAATTAGAAGCACTGTCGCTGCAAGACTTCACTAATGAAACACCGTTGTCCAAACAACCACACGTCTGACAATCAGGGGTACTGTAAATACAAACGAGACAGAAGTGTTCCTAATGCAAAGACTTGATTATGTATTTGTGATCGGTAGAATACTCAAAAAAGACCTATACTTCGACATTTCTCAACAACGGATTACGGTTACTATAAATTCTCACCCAAGGTATATTCACCTTCAGGGTAACTTTGTAGTATTACGAAGCATACTTCGTTACTATGTACCAGATAATTTAAATATTTGGTAAATATTGTCAGCAAATTTGAATACGTGAATAATCCGTTACGTGGAATTTAGTAGACGTGCTATTTTGTATTGAAATGTTTAAGCATAGATCAATTATATTTGAGGGATTTTAACGACTCATATGAAATCCGAAATACACCCACCAAGTCACGAAATTTGAATTCTTCTGACAACACCACGACCAGGGTCATGAGAACGCCTCGAAATAGGGCCATACACAACAGTCCCCATACAACAGGATTAATGATATGAATTATCCTCCAGATTTCCTCGGTTAGTACATGAGTGGCATTTTGTCTGGCGTCTTTAGCTGCCCGAGAACCATCGGGATGATCACCGTCCAGAACTGCCTCAATAATCGTATCATCAGCCATTCGCATTATAGACTCCTTTTACTATCAGCAGATAATGTCACATCTGTTCACTCGATGGAAAATCACCGAACATGCTCAAATACTTCCGGTTGACACAGTTTTTGTCCATGGCATCCATTCCGAATATTCTGACATACAAAGATACAAATTATACTCATCCATGGTATATTCACCTATTCTACGCTGATCTACGCTTCTCTCTGTACAGCCATCTAGGTACGTACGGAGGAATCGATCGATGCGCTGCCTCCATATCACAGTGCAGTGCGCAATACAGGCTGGATGCAGCGTGTACCGCTCCGTGCATTTCAAACGGGAAAAATCAATACAAGAATCACAATGCGACATTCCTACAGTATAGTCCTGCTTAATAATTAATATTGCTGCAGCGTGTGGTGAGCCACTTGGAAGATACAAATGCTTAATACATACAACACTAAATAACACCAGGGTCATGAGAACGCCTCGAAATAGGGCCATACACAACAGTCCCCATACAACAGGATTAATGATATGAATTATCCTCCAGATTTCCTCGGTTAGTACATGAGTGGCATTTTGTCGGTTAGTACATGAGTGGCATAATATTTGCGAAACAAGAACGAGCTGTCTTTCGGGATGATATGGTATATCCATATCGGATAACCATGGCTAAGGCAGCCATTGACGATCCTGGAGATTACGAGGGTTTCGACGTCGAAAAACTCACCAGACTGTTCCCTGATGGCACGGCTAAGGACCAGTGGTCTTTTGCAAAGCTCATCCCGTTGATTCGAAAGTTAATCCCGGCTATAGCTAACGATCTGGAGTATGTTGAGAGGAACGCCATTGATCCCTCTGAGCTGAATCCCGTGTGACTAAATGCCTGAAAACTGAAGTCTCCGCACTTGTCACTCCCTTCATGGAAGAAAACCAGCGACTGAAGGCTGAGCTATCTTCAAGGGATGCCCAGATCAGAGAACTACTAGAGAGCCAGAAAAGGTACGATGAGTTCGCCCGGTCTCTGCAGGTCTTGCAAGATGAAGTCAAAACCCTGAAAGCAACCTCCGCTGCGCCTACCTCGAGCAACGTCGAAAGTGGTCGATTAGCATCTCAACCCTTCGGGTTTCGATCGACCGCTTCGACGCCTGCCAAAGACCCAGAAAGTTTCCCTCCACTTGGCACCCCCCAGTCCCCTATGTCAACCCCTGATACTGTTGTCACTCCCACATGTTTTGATAGCCCCACCCCCAATTTGTCGGACATGAGGAGCTCTTGGGCAACCGTCGTAAGAAAAAAAGTGGTTCGCGGTACTCGGGACTCCGGTTCAGCAAGCAGTGAGGACATCGTTATGTCGACATTGCGGGCTAAACGCGCCAGTAAAGCTGACAAAGAGAAAGTGAAGAAGGACTACTGTCTACATGGCATACCCCCTTTGGATCCGTCCCGACATCAGACACTGGATGACTACAGCAAGGATCTCCAGAGCGCCATTGAATCGAACGGAATCTCTGTCAGATTTGTGTCGATTTACTCTGCTAAAAAGGGCCGTAAGAATAGCCTGTTTGCACGTGTTGGTTCTTGTGGTATATTTGCATATCACGAGATTATTGGCATATCGTGAAAGTCACGATACAAACGATGACTTAGCAACTGTGCGTTATTTCCTGTTGCTGTGTCTTTGGATGTTGTACTTCTCATTTAGTTGTTATCTTGTACTAGTCGTAAAACGGTAATACTTATTAAAGTATTAGCCCGTACTTGGAGACATCACAGTTCTTATGCTCATGAGTCTGATAAAATGTTTACTCCTGGAAACTGGCCTCCTAATATTGGGGTGCGCGAGTGGTTGTTCGCCCCCAAGGATGCTCAGTGATTCCTAATCTCTAATTACGCATTTTCCCCTCATTAATTTCAGTTCGATTTGACCAATAAAAACACATTCAATAACATAATATATACGCGTAGTGTTAAGGGAAAAGGGCATGTATACGGAATTCGTGTACATACATGCGCGGAAACGATCGCTTTCGTAGTCTTTTAATTATTTTTCCATTGCTTTATGACCGTTCTGTAGCCAAAAAACTTGATAGGTGGACGTAACAATCGCTAGGCGTAACGTTCGGTAGCAGAATTATCGATGGAATAAGATTCCTAAAAGTTTCAGTACCAACAGATGTGCCAAAAGTCCGGTGACCAAGACTGTCACGTAAACGCATATGCTATGAACATCTACTGCGAAGCTCAGTCGAAAACAACATTATGAAGTCACGGCCGGTAAGCTTGCTTTCGCTACAATAATTGTAATGTTAAAAAACCCGAAATACAAGGTAACCTAGTTTAGTCATAGATGTGGCACAGATGCGGCAAAGAGCATTTTCGCTGGTCCAGAGGGATGGGTCTTTGCGCGGCAGACGGCGTCGCGGTTTGCACAAGGAAAACAGCTCGGTTTCGGCTCGGGAAGCGTTGTGTTGCTTCGTCGTCATGACCTTCCAGCACAATATCGTTGAAGTCAACAACGCAGCGCCGCTGCTTTAATTATACTTCTTTACGATTAGCTATCTTCTCTATCAGACCGTTGGAGTAATTTTTGTGGCACAGAGTCGAGCATTCTTTGGTTGGAGAAAAACTCCACGCTCGTTCGGGGTTGCTGTTGTAATCAGGAATTCAGCCAATGCAAACGGCTGTTCTGGATGCGTGGCGCTGTCACAATGCAACTAGTACTACAGATCTGTACAGATACGTCCGAATGTATTTTACCGGCGGAAGCCTTACAGCAACTGCTTATCATCCTAGCTAAGGTCACGAGTACTGTGATTTTGTCTGCATTTTGTCCATTCGTCAGAATCTTTCTATATCGTATTTTTCACTTTCCCACCAGATGACAAAGGCACACTAACGGAGCATCATGTGAGTTGTCGTTTGATAGACCAAAAGTTCAGCGTGATTTATCTTAGCCCTGATGCATATTGAATCTACAACAATCAGTTGTCTCTTTATTTCTCTGGTCGACGTGTTTACAGAAAAATGGGTATCGAGCTTGGTGTATCTCACAAGAGTTTACCTTTTGGCCTTTCTTCGACATCGTGTTTGGACCACCTCTTTACTGTTTTCATCCCCAAGCGAATCCTAAGTGTTACTGTCACAAACTTGCCAACGTTTAAACGTTTTCGGAACGCTACGACGACTGATCCGAATACCGTTACGGATTAAAGAACAAACTGCAATTAAACACACTGCATTTTTACATCAAGAAACGCATTACGGTGCCAGTCAGTCAGTGTCAGTGTCGGAACGTTACATGCCGTTTTTGCAAACCGATAACTCTTCTTTTCGACGTGGCGCATCAGCTTTGGTGTAAGTATACAGCGTATGCCGGCTGAATTAACAGCACAGAAATCCACTTACTTGTTGCTTCGTTAGGAGAAAACAGTATTCCGGGGCAGGGATTCATGTTTACTGATCTGTACTTAATGGAAGAATACAGATTCCCGTTGCGGTTTGTGTGGGAATTAGATAGCAGATACTTTAAGCTATCTCATCAGTACGCCAGCAGAACGCGACGGTTAGGTAGTTTGTTATTGCGCGGTACGAAAGGTCATAAATTACAAAGTTTACATGAGAAAATGCTTATCTGTAAGGTATGATTAACATCGAAAGAGTCGAAAACGGTTTAGCAGAAGAAGCGCCTTACCATAAGTTTCCTGGGAGCGAATTTCGAACAATTTCACTTCAAGCATCGTGGTTTGATACACCAGGTATAATCGCATACTCACATTGTCGTACTTATCGCATCACATGAATATGATACGAGCACATTGTCACAAACTCACACCCCTCGTACAAACATCATCATTCGCGAGTCACTGTGAGAATAAGAAATGTTTGCATGGTTTGCACGATCAGGCCTGATAGGTTTATACTTTATAGAAAGTTCTTCTTTATTAATTGATGTCTGCATTTCGCACCAGCTTTTGGTGGGTAAGATTTTTAAATTCACTTGTATTTCGCCGCGTCGAAACAGCCTCGCGCCGTGATGTCCTGCCGACTAAATGTCCTGCGACAAAGCGTCGCGCGTCGAAATTAACTTGAGTCGAAATACGGTATGTGCGACTATAGCTGTCCTCGGCGAAACGTCGCGGTGCCCACCGGAAGATTCTGTCGGGGTACGGGAAACGCTCACCATTTAAACTCCGCCCGTCCGGGATTATACAGCTCTTCCCGCTTATCGATGTTGAAGCGGACGTAAGAACTGGATGACCTCGAAAGCTGAAAACTAGCAACTCAACCGGCATCAGCACCAACCTTAAATGCTGACAGCACACCCGTATACCAGAAGTGAAGGCAGACAGTACCGCACAAAACCTGGTGCGGAGGTTCAGCGGAAATTCAACTGATTATTTCGAAAAGACACCGCACGGTAACGTGGAGGGTTAATGTTTGTTGTGTATTTAATTTTATAAGCATAACAGTAGACCTCCAACGAAGCAATAATTCTCAGTACTTATTTGTTATGGCTACTTTGGCCGCGGCTGCTGTCCGGAAATCATTTCAGGCCATAAGTATCAAGAATAAACGCCGATATCTCCCAGTTGTTTAGAACTTTAGACCCATTCGTAACAACTGTTGCTGCAAGCAGAAACAACAGATTCGACTCCTTTAAAAAGGTTTGCAAAGCTTAGCTCTGTGAGGAGGAGTGGCCTCTCCGTTCACCCGCGCACAGGCGGCTGCTAGGTTGTTTTGCTGTTTTTGCCGTGTTTTTCTCCATCTACCAGATTCTAAATCTGGTAGATTCTTCAGTTGCTAGATTTCGTCGTCTGAGCTGGATGCTTTTTCCTTTTTGCCCCGCAGCAAGGTCCTGCGGTGGCCTTTGATATGATGTATGTGAGAGAGATAAAGTGTGCAGTGTGTTGGCGTTCAGTTTCCGTTTCTGTTCGCGCACAGGGGTGAACTAGCCGTTCATCCCCTGTTAGAGCTCCATCTTTTGCGTTTTGTATTGGACGAATTAGCACGTGCAGCACATTCGGCAGAGTTATTTGTACATGCTGTGTACTCGTACATACTCGTACTTTATTTTTTCTGCTTGATTAAAAAACGAAAACAAAATGTGCATAAAAAAGGTATGGATTTCAGTTTTGCATAAGAAACAGGCAACTAAGTTTAGCATTCGTGGCGCTCGCTGCCGTTATACTACAATCTACCTCGACTTACTTCAGGATGACTGCGCCTGGTAAAACTACTGTTTTAGCCTAACACGGATTAGCATGTGGCACTGTTAGGTGCAAATCGAATGATAAAAATTAAAACAATGCGCGTGTGCGATTACTAATACGTTTACCGATTGCTGCTGTATCTAGTATTGCGGTACATTTATGAATGACCTTTGCACAAATAGCGATGTGGACGGTGATATTCGCCTTCCATCATAATTATTATTACGGTTATTTTTAATGCCGTGTGTGGTTGTTGTTCTTTTCACGCGGCTCCATAGTGAGTGCGGAAGCTTTCCCGTAATTCTTCCGTGTTTTCACCGAGAACCCTGGCAACTTTAATTAAATTTAAAAATTAAGTTTAACTTAATGGAAGGCCTGCAGTTTACATTAAATCTAATTTAATGGAAGGCGCACGATTTAGATTAACTACATTCACGTTAATTTAATGGGAGGCGTAAAGTGTAAGTCAAATCTGAATTAAGTTTGATTAAAACGACGGCATGCAATTGAAATTAAATTTAGTTTTGGCTTAATGGAAAGCGTGGAGAATAATTAACCTTTTTTTCAAGTTTATTCCATGAAAGGAATGCAATTAAAATCCCGCTCAAAGTAAATTCAAACTAACCTTGCAGTTTAATGGAACACACACAAGTTAAATTTAGTTACTATTGTAGCAATTGTGCAGTTTCAATCTATCGCTTCTTGGTACGATTATTTATCGTACATTCCTCAACAATACCCAAAAACCAGCAATATTGTCAACCTTTACTCAAACCCAATCGTCAACCAGTCGCCGCAGCGGACTATTCACAACCCAACAACCAGACATCCCCGCCGAAAGAACACCATCCAGAAATATTCCCCCAGGGAAAAATCATTACAAAAAAAAGAAGAGAAAAAACCCAGAATTAATGGTACAATTGTTGTGTAGTAAACACCAATCAGCCAACTGTGATTTTGTACAGAAAGAGACACACTGAGGAAAACACGAACACACACACACACGCGCAATGCACACACCATCCAGACGCCATGGAGCAACCGTATCCCGGGAATGCAAGGAGCGCGCCGAACGCGCCCTTTTTTTGTACAAGGACCATCCATTCTTCCCACCGTCGCCGGTGCATCTTTTGTACAAAATACACAAATGCATCCCGCGCTTTTTGTACATCGTGTCGTCGTCGTGGCTGATTTTTTGGTAAGAGTATTATCAGGGTTTCAGAAGGAGCAACCGAACCGTCCAAGAAAATCATGGATGAATTTCCCATCAATTATTTATAAATAATTATTCTCCCGTCCCCGACCAAGGCGTTCGCTGCGGCTTTATACACGTTTTTCCCATTCCCGTTTCACAAGAATACAAACGGCGTCACGGCCGTCAATCCTGTAAACAAATAACGACAATTGAGCATTTTTTAAATTTATTTTAAAATAAACAAACATTAATTGCAGCAATTTGGCGAATTAATTTATTTTGCCAGTACACCGAGCAAAAATAAATTGTAAAATAATTCGGGAAATTTCAGGCATAAAAAAGCGGGCAACAAAATCAGGATGCTTCGGAAATCCAGCATGCATACCGAGTGAAAAGAATGAGGAAGGAGAGAGAGAGCGAAAGAGAAGTGTGTGTGTGTGAAGTGAAGAAGTGTGTGGCTGAGTGTGCGCGGTCAAATGCGCACGGGGTACCTACCCCCTCCGGCCGCCGCACCGCCCCCGGGGGGCCCGCCCGGACTGGAGTTGCCGCTGCGCCGACGCCGCTCGCTATCACTGGCCCGGCTGGACGGCCGTTCCAGACCGCTCACCGACGACGAGGATACTGAGTGCTGCAGGGACTGCAGTCTACAAAACAACCAACAGAATTCAAATAATTATATTTTTATTATAAATCAAACAGTTGAACAGCTATTATACAGTTTTTTTGAAAATACGGGATTTTATTCGAAATAAAAGCCACATATACTTATCATTATTATTTATGCCCGAACCAATTTAATTAGAAAACACTCCAAGTAATTATAAACGAAAGACGAAAATTAATTTGCTAGGAATTAATTACAGAGACAAATGCAGAATTTTATGATTATTTAAATATCCGCATTTAAAGTTACCAATAATTTTTACCGGAAGTTCATTGCTGTTTCATTTTTGAATTTCTTTGAATTTTATTATTGAATTTCTTTATTTTTTATTTTTAATTTTCTAATTTCCTTTTTATTTTTTTTTACCGGAATTTCATTGTGACATATTTTATTTTGAATTTCTTTGAATTATATTTGTAAATTTTCGAATTTAAAATTTCTTTTAATTTTTTCTGAAAATATTTGTAATTTTTTGGGTTGTATTTCTGTAGACGTACCCTTCAAGGAAGACCCGCTGCGACGTACTGAGAACATCCACCGGCTCGGAGCAGCGGCGGCGGTTGAGGAAGGCCTTGGGCGCCGGCTCCTCCGTGTCCACGTCCACGTCCTCCTCGTCGCGGCCGCCCAGCAGGAAGGGGAAGGGCAGCGCAATGGGCTCGGAGCAGCGCCGGTTCTGCAGCCGTTCGGGGTACTTGCACAGGAAGGGCGGCACACTGCCGCGTTTGCCCAGCACCGCCACGGCGCTGACGGGGTTCATGCCGGGATGGCTGGGCGGCTTGGAATGCCGGCGGGACGGCGGCAGCGGCAGGTCGTCATCCGTCGGCGCCAACTGTAGCACAGAATGCCCTTTGTGTAAAATAACTGTATACACGTGCTGAAAATATATCCACAGAGGAAAAACATAATGGACCATACTGCACTGTCACACTGATTTAATTAGATTATTTTTGCACGAGTATTCATTATTATTCCATCACATTTTTTATTATTGTTTCACGAATGCGCCGATTGTGACCATTTGACGCGACACAGTATGCAGATGACAGACAGCGATATGGTAGCACAGTGGCACGGTGCTTGTGCCCCATAGCTACGGTAACCGTTCGACCGTTGCTCACACCGCATAACGGGAAAAAAATAATAACGAGAACGTTTTACTAAGAATTTTCAAAACATCTTTTTAAATGCACTTACATTACATATTATCTGTTCCGTTGTTGGTAGCGCAAATACGAGAATAAGAACTAATTCACATACAATTTTAAGAATTAATCACAAGCAAAAAATTAATGCCAGAAGACCCGAAAATAAACAAAAAAAATCGGGAAAAAATATACATGTATATTTTATAAAACAAGCTGAATCTTACCTCGACCTGCTCCTCTTCCTCCTTGATCTTCCGCTCGAAATACTTGGGCCCGCGCGCATTCCAGTCGTAATACAACGTCGCCTCCCGCGGTCCCTCCCCGGAGTTCTCCTTATCCTCTTCCTCCTCTTCCTCGTCCTCCTCCGCCTCCGACGGCGGGATGAACGGCTCCTCATCGAAGCTCTGGCTGATCCGCGCCTGCAGTTTCCGCTGCGTGGTTCGTGCTCCGCCGTCGTCGCGCGCGAACACCGGCCCGATCTCGTCGCCCTCCGAGTCGGTGTCGGCCGTCACCGCCGTGGACACCCGGCTGACCTCGGTGTCGCAGGTCAGCGAGGTGATGCGGGACATACGCGGCGCAATGTCCTCGGTGCTCCAGGAGGGACCGGGCAGGTCGGGCGGGCGGTAGGGGGGTTCCACGGAGAAGCTGACGCGGTCGACGAAGGGGTCGCCGGAGGTGGAGAAGCGCACGATCGTCTCGCTAAAGATGGAGTGCCGACGGCCGCGCGACGACGACGAACTGGAGAACTGCTCACGGTGCAGCGAGGTTCTGTGGGGAAAAGGAAAACATTCAAATGAATATTAGCCGAATTTATATTGTACATGATTTTTAAATTGTACATTAAGGGTTAAAAGGAAGTTTCCTCGAATTTTTCATGATCAGGTAGGGCAGAAAAACTTACATTAAAAAAGCTGTACAAACTACTTGTTCAAAAACCATTTTTGCTTTTTTATCATGAAACACGCAACAGATATCCCCATTCATCCATTTGCCGCTGCACTACAATCTGTTGACATATAACAACGCTGCTGCTGTGTAGTTTGTATTATGTACAGTAAATCAAAATGCCAAAACGAAAGCATTAAAATTCATTTATTTTTCTAGCGGGGTGATTTATTTCCTTAATGAATTTTATTTACCAACTAAAGCTTCTTGTTCAGCTGGATTTATTTACCGGAATTTATTTGATCGTCCAGCGTAAGCGGTTCATACTTTCAAAACCAATTCGTAACAGAAAATTAAAACTCATTTCTCTCTTCAGAATATTAAATTTATTTCTCAAAATTAAATCATTTCTGAATTAATTACTGTTTATTCGCAAAACTGTTCATGCTTGCAAAATCAACCAAGAGAAAAATAAAATTAAAGTCGCAGTAAATTTACTTTTCGAAAAAAAATATTTTAAATTTTTATATAAATATTTACCTGGGACGTTTATCGTGCAGCGTGGGCGGCAGACTATGCCGGCGCTTGTTGGCCATCCCGCCACCAGCCCCGATACTCTTGCGACTGGTCGACCGCACCAACGGCAACGTCGCGGCCGGCAGCTCCGACGTCCAGCCCTTGATATCTTCCGGCTGGGGCGTGGCCACAATCTGCACCACCGGCGTCTTGTGCGCTACCGCGGCCACCGTCACCTGCGCGCCGGCATCCTCCCGCCCGGCCGGGCCCTCGGCGGCCTGCCGTTCGGCGTACTCCTTGGCCAGTTGCTGCCATTTGACGAGATTCACCTCGAGATTGCGCAGCATGGTGGTGGTCAGGTCGCTGCCGGGATTGAAGCGGCCCCACTCGCGAAACAGGGGGGCCACCACGTACTCGATGAAGCCGACCTGGATGCGGGGGAGGTTGTTGGTTTTGCGGTCGCAGATGGCCGTCACGGGCAGGTTGAGACGGCGCTCACGGTCGCCCTGCTTGAAGGTTGCGACCAGATACGGCTGATGCACTCAGCGCACCTGCACTTAGCTAGGTGCTTCATTTTTTTGATTTTTTCAAGACGACCACTGCTCGTCGGTTCAGCCACCCACAGATCATCCCTTGCACTACCTTCCTTTACTATTTATTCCAAGTGTGTGCCTTTGTTAATAGTAACCAACAAAAATAAACTGGATATCGCTCAAACATTCATCCAGCTTATTTTGAAAAATTCAATTTATTTTAAATAACACTTATTTTATATAAACTAGCAACAAGTGCTCCCCGGAAAAAATGCGACATATTTACCGAAATAATTGCAACTGACTTTTAATTATTCAAAAACATTGCTTTTCAGATCGTTCAACTTCGACTCACTGGACCGTACACGGTTCACTGCCATGTTTTAAAGGCAGAAAAGGTCATTTTAAGCCGCTACACTACAATATCTCTGTAAGCACTACCGCGACCGGCGACCGTACAGTGGCGTACACGTAGTGAGCGATAAAAACAAAATGAAATGTAATCCACCCAGCCTATTAAATCTATTCATAAATGCACTGCATTTTTGAATTCAAAACTGCTTCCTTTTTTAAATGGAGCGTATTTTTTTTTGCGGAATCGCTGCATTTTTACAGAAGATGTATTTAGAATCATTCAGAATTAATTTCAACAAATAAAAATATTCCTAATTAATTAAATCACCTAGCCGTCTTTTTTTACCACAGAGAAAATCTCTTTCAAATATTGGAACGCCAAATTAATGAAAAATTTGAATTTAAATAAATTAAAAATTAATGAAATTCTCTGAATTTATTGCGAAAACTAAAAAAGCAAACGAAAACATTTTTTCGCTGAATTGTAAATTCTGCAACAACCCAGCTAAATCCGGGCGGAAAGCCTGCAGAAAAATGAAAGAAAATTCCGTACCAATTTGCATGACAAACAGCCGTTCATCCCGGTCGGTCAGCACCTCCTCCGGCCGCCGGCAATCATTCAGCTGCTTGAACCGGGCGATGAGATCGGGCTGGCGGGTGATGTCGGTGGCCAGGATCATGGTGCGCATGATATCCTCCAGCTCCTTCTGCTCGGCGGGGGCAAAGTGGTCCACCAGCCCGGACTGGCGGATCAGGCAGATGGAGGTGCGCCAGTGGTGGTTCTCCAGGACCGATTTGTTGTTGTACAGCTGCGCCAGGTAGTTGCGCGTCCCGACGAGGAAGGGCTGGTTGACGCCGGGATGATCCACGTCGTGGCCGGCCGCGGCCAACAGCGCGCCCATCGTCTCCATTTTGGTCAGATGCCGGTGGATGCCGCTCTGCTGCACGACGCAGTGCAGCGCCTGCGTCACGTCGGCGGCATGGATGGAGTTGTGGAAGGGGTTGGTGCTGTGGTAGCTGGCTTCCAGCAAACCTTCACACAAATACATTCCGATAAAAAACAAGAAAATAAAATAAGATTTTCATTTAAACGGATAATATTACATGTAAAATGGAATGAATCCAGTTAATTTATTCCCGTCAGCCGTATTATTGGACAATCGTAATTAGAATTTACACTCGTAAAACACAATACACGAAAAAAATTCTATTTCCCTAACAGTCTTGTAAGCGCAAAATTTCCTAATGCAGTTAAAAATCTGAAATTAAAAAATGAAATGTTTTTCCATCTAAACTTTGTAAAGTTTTTCACGAGATTTCCTGCTTTGATTTTCTTCCAATGTCTGTTTCTGTTTTCTACGCAGACAAACGAAACAGCAGGGGTTTGATCTGATTAAATCTTATACTTCTAAAAATAATAGAGAATTTCAGTGGAAAAGGGCATAAGGGAATCCATTATGGAACAAAAACACAGCCGAAAACAATGTCGTATGAAAAGCAAACTTTGTCATTTAGGGAAGTACGGAAAGCGTCTGCACCACCGTCCGAATGAAAGTTAGCCCAAACGAGTGTGCCATTACACTACGATTACCATAACATATCCAGCACTGGGTGGCCATGCAAAATGTTCACATTACAAACAAGTTAGGCAGTATAAAGTGTAAACTGAGTAAATTATCCTGATCAAGAAATGTCGAACGATGCCTACCGAAGCACTTCATGAGTTTGAGATGGTCCAGCCGGAAGTGCTCGACGAGGCCGTACTCCTCGAAGAGGTGCACGCCGAGGTGGAAGAGCGCCCGCCCGTTGGTCAGGTGGTCCAGGGTGAAGGTGTTGAAGTTCCAGCAGGCCACGTGCTGCAACAAACAGCTGGCCGGACCCTGGTACGTCTCGTCCACCAGCACGCCGTTCTCCGGCCGGGTGAACTTGAACCGCGACCGTCGCCGCTGGTAGTTCTTGTGCAGACTGAAGAACCGTCCTGAGATCACAGCGCGACCTACCAATCAACCAGTCACCCGTTAAATACCAGTATATGCCCATTTTTTAATGTAAAATAAATTAAAAATACCTCAGTATACACGAATAAATACTAAAAAATAAACTTATAATAAACACTGACTCCATACCAGAAATTTTGTTAAAATTATAATGTTTAATCAATAAAGACGCAGGATTCGCCAATTACACAGCTGAACATTTCCTAAATAATTAATAATTTTTACCAAAATTATTTTATTCTCAGAATTTTCACTGATATTTTCTTTCGTCACTTCCTGACACAATTTCTACGATATTTGCATTGTTGATCCAACCTAAATTGATAACAGTACGACGATTAACAAAAGATTCCCGCCGTTTCCGGTAAAACACCTTGTGCTCGTTCACCTTGACCGGCTCGATTAAAGCGTGATTGAAAGATTGAAAAGGCGTATATTGTTTCGTGCATAAATACACCCGATCAAAACGACGCCGGCCTTGAGACACGGGCTGGTGTGTTTACACTCTACTTAGCCAATACAAAAACTATAGGACTGAAAAAAACAACTGGCTTTTTAGCACACTTCCACGTCTTCGTTTATGCAAAATAAATTAAAAGGCCCAATAAATACTGAGCAAAATACTTCTCTTATTTCGCATAACAATTCTTTGCGCAATTCAGAACTATGAGCTCAACCAGAACAATTTCTGTACTCGTAAATAAGAAAATTATTAATACTGAGTCCTTCCAAAAAAATCAGTGTTTAACTTCAAAAGTTGAAGTTGAACTTCATATATGCCAAATAATTGTGTAGCGAACGCTTCAATTTCGCAATGTTAGTAAACGTTGTAAGCCACTACACTACGAAAACACTATTACTATTCAGTATTTACCGTCATCCATTGCTTCCATAGTGCGCGACTGTGCGTGTGCAGCACTTCACAGAATCGTTCAACGGAAGCCAAATAAAAAAAAACGATACAATCAGTTCAAATAAATAAACAACTCCAGTACAGCGAATTTATTAATCATCCCATTTCCCGTCAACACAACATCAGCAGGTACAGTTCGTCCTCACATGTGTGTGCGGTCCTAATCGTTTCTCCAACCCAGACCACAACAAACCCCGAAAATTCTCCGTATAATTAATCATTGCATAACCATCAGTGTGTAAAAGTGCGGTGTATAAATCGTGACTACTTAATCTATTCATCTGTGGGCTTTTTAATACACACCAACCACCACAATTCCATCACGAGCCAAGCAGCAACTACCACCGCGGAAAACTTGGTAAACATCCGTACCATGTGCTCTGGTCGTACAGCGAACAAACCAGCTAATCAGCATCGCCCACAGCCAATTTTAGCCACGAACTAACCGTTACTAGCATCTTCCTTAAGACGACGGTTGCAGCCGGAAATACGCGCTGATAAGGCTGCTGCTTGATTACGTGTATACGGTCTTTCCCGCTACTCTATACATTATAACGCGTGCTCGTGTTTATGTCAGACTGTTCTTTAAGCTCCTCCTGCCAATCACACGGCCGAAACTCTATTCACGCTCTGACAATTCGTGTACGGCGGGTATTGATCAGGATAATTGGGTCTACTTTGCGAGAGGGTATTTTCTTGGCCACTTTCAGCACGGTGCGGGTTTTGTGTTCAGTGTGTAATTGTCAACATGTACCGGCTTTTCAAAACGTTTCTAATGATTTTTCCAAGGAGGGAGGATGGGTGCTGGATTTACCGGATTCCCGGAGATTTATTTAACATTTTTCACGTAACAATTTTCCCCGGAAAAATTCGTTGCCGGTTCAGTTAGACCAATGTCTCACCAATTTTTTGGATTATTATTTTTCTTGTAACAATTTTCCCGGCAAAACTCATTTGAATATTCATTAAAACATGCCTCGGGAATTTTTCTAATTATCCAGTTTTCCTGTAATAATTTCCCGGCAAAAAAAATATTTGTCGGTTCTGATACAAAAAACGTGCCGTCAGATTATCTGGTTATCATTTTTCTTGTAACAGTTTTCCGGCATGAATGTATTTCCATGTTCAATTATAAAAACCTCTTTTCAATTTTTCCACGTGACGAAATTAAAATGTTTTTCGGCTAGCGAAATTTTTACAAACAGCCTTGATCCGAAAAAAAAAGGATCTACTTACACAAAAAATAAAATCAAATTAACACATCTCCAATAAAATAATCAACCCACGGAAAACTGGAAAACAAATTTTTTATTGGCGCATTAAGCAGCGCTATAAAATCAGCTGACTCAGAAATAATTTAGAAAATTGCTGAAAATTCGTAACTGGCTTCCGCGTGAGTGTGACCTCTCCTAACGATTATCATTAATCAACGGAATAATTATTGTTTATGACAGCATCGTAATCAACCACAAACTCAGCATTATTTCCCCAAAATCAGCCGATAACCCGTTTTATCAGCCCATTAACCACCGGATAAGCTTTGCGTCACCCGTGCGATTTTCCAATTAATTGTATAATAATAATAATACGTCTGCTCACATTTGCACCCCGAAATCACGTTCACGTTCGCGTCCAATTAATTCTACTCATTTTCCACGAATTTCCCGTTCAGGGGGCGGATCAACTCCACACCAACGGTGACCTTCAGCGGGTAGCATTTATTCAACAAATTACCCTTCATTAAATATGAAATTTATACAACTCATGACCGTCCCATCCCGTGGCGACGCAATATGCTATTTTTCGAGCCGGAACTGATATTCATTGGCGTTAATTAATCAGCGTTCTGCCGGCATGAATTACTGGCATTTAATTCGTGGTCACACGTGAGGGAGTGCCCATAAATCCCTCGTAAACACACCGTTTAACGCGGCTTTCAAAACAAATTATTTCTCCTCATTTATTATGGATTTTATGTATTATGTTGTTTTGTCAAATGACGCCTACGCGTGGCAGCAGACCTCATTCAATCATTCACAAAGATCAGAATGAATTGTGACGCATGTGAAACTATAAGCAATAATTTTATTTTCCCCCTTTCTCCTGAAATAAATTATCTGCGTCATGTTTTGCACAGCAAATGATTTTTCTTCGCATTTAATTTGCAAGTATGGAGATATTTTAAATTGCTACTGTACTTTCGCAAACACAAATAAATACGAAATAACCTTAATTTCACATTTATAATTAAAAACATCACTTAAATAATTTTTTAGAAATAGCAGAAGAATTGTACAAAATTTTTAAAAATGTCAATGAAAGCAGCTGGCAATTGAAATACCGCGATCTCCTGTTTTTCTTGAATTTCGTGCGCCGCGGCAGATAGAAATTTACCATACAACGCGTATAAATAAATAACTGGATGGGCAAATATTACGGCGAAAATGCGCGGTACACTGGATAAAAATCACGAGCTTCTTCATTAGGAAATGTATTTTCAATGACGTTTATTCAAGGATTATTTAAAGTGCTTTTCCGGAAAAATCTTGCTGGAAGGGAATTCTGCACTTAACCATGGGAATATTAATATCGTCAAACGACGAAAACACCTTGTGATGCCTCTATACGGTTGGTGAGGTAATAAACGCGGGATGTGAAAAACAGATCAATAATTTCCTCTTAACGCAGCGAGGGATCACCAAGCCAGCGCTGGGATAATGTTTCCGGTTAAAAAACTTCCCGCGGCGCAGTTGGGATATCTGTGTATATGTATATATCGACTAAAAAGGCTCATAATTCGCCGTACCGGTCCTGCGTCACCGGCACATGTTCGGACAAAAGGGGACCTCGTTTTCTTCCCGCTCCACGCTGCCGGGAAGTGATGCCAGTCGATAGCATCCGCTTATTGTGTGCCGGCACGCATCAGCTTACATTTTTTTTCGACATTTTTCCCTCGAAAAGTCACTACTAAATTTCCCATATTCCCTCAAAGCCGATTCGCCGGAATATTCAAAGCTACATACAAACCAACATACAAAGAAATCAAACGAATAAAATAACTACAAAATTAGTTATTTATTTTATTAGAGGTATATTATAAATGAAATAATTTTCTTGCGTATTTAATTACTCGTATATTTATCTGTAAAATGTGCGTAATTTTTTATTTATTCAAAAACTAGTTACGATTTTGACTGACAGCCGACTGATATTTTTTTTGTGGAAGCCGATCTGTATATCGTAATAAGAATGACCTTCTTTCAATCATTCGGCACACCACATTTGTAACGCATATATTTCAAATGCCGGCAAAAAGTGTTTGTGCGCGCGCCGGCGCCAATTAAAAATAACGCAGACGCAAACCGACACCAAAACCTTTTTCTACAGCCAATTAACATTTGCTAATCTATCCGCGGCTAAAAGGCCACTTGTAGGTTAAACCGCCATAAAAAAATCGAGCTTGAAGTTTATGGAAGAAAGATGTTATAAAACGGCTGTAAATACGAAAAGAGATCAGAAAACGTTAAGGAATTCCTATAATAAAATTTACTGCGAGCGACTTACTAACTGAAAACTGAGTAAATAAGCTTATTCGCCCGAAGCGCCAAGTCAACCGTAAAATCCCGAGGACACTTGACAGTCCATTATACACTTGACTCTGAATTGTTTTTATCCTCGTAATTTCGGTATTTCGAATCTGCCAAAATTTTTAGAAAATAATTCTTACGAACGTTGCTCCGTAACGCTTAATTAACGATGCACACTAATTGAATATTCCATACTTTTCCACAGTTTTGATTCCTTTCTACAAACCCGTGTGATGGTCAATTTAAGAAATAAAAAACCCTTGAAACCTTAAAACAATAATTTATTTATTCTGTAGTATTAAGTAAAAAAGATTAGCAGTTAATTTTTTATTGATGATCTTGATAATTTGACAGAGTTCACACCTTTAAGATAATCACTGCTGCTGCCTCTACACTACAATTGTTGCCTAAAACCTGCACGTGCCCATGCTGTATGGCTCGCTAATCGAACAACAAAAAGATCATTCGCATGTACGCATATATATCCATCCCGCGATGAAAAGCCCGACCGCGGTGCCCTTTCTAAATGAAACATCCACTCAACCACGATCCCCTCCGCTATTCAATCCTAGATATTGCAACCATCCAGATCCTGCTTATTAATCAGCGCGCCCCGTATGCCGACCCGCCGGGCCATCACGCGACACCATTAACGCGTGCGTGGAAGGTCACCGGCCAAGGTTATCGCCGCCGCACATGATTACTAATCGGCGTTTTATTGCAGCATAAACTGTATGATGTGTGTGCGTGTATTTTATTACACGCCGTCAAGTGTATCGTTGAAACGTTTACCACGGCACATTCTTCGCCCGGTAAATCTTATCGCCGTTGCAGCCCCAAAATGGGTTCAAACTGCAAAGAATCGCTTTCGACCTAATCAGCGCATCTCGCGAGGTGATTATCGGGGATTTTTCTGTCTGATAAGTGCTAACCGAAACCTACATCTACACAATAGAATCCAGAATATACATAGAATAGGATTTTTAAAAATATTAATTTGCGGTTTCCAATGTTCGTAGTTAAGCGTAGAACGATGGCAATGCGTGATCCTGACGTAATATGCTAAATTATTCCTCACAATCTCGCTAAATAATAAACGTCATTTAATTTCGAAATTTTTTTGTATACAGTCCTGGCATTTTATTGAATTAAAAATATTAGTAGTGGCATTTTATTTAGTCGTGGCTTCTTATTTAATTAAAAATACTACATTTTGTAATTACGAAAAATTATTTCAGAAAATAAATTTAAGTCGCTACTCAATAATTTCAATTTTAATTATTTTACAGTTTACTGTGCATTTACTTCCGGCTAACTCAATCCAGCCCTCATTCGCCAAAAATATGCCCTAATCAAAATCCGACAAATTGATCCAACCGACTAGCGCGCGCCGCTTCATCAATGGCCCGGAAAATGGCCGACAATTTCGCAGTAGGAATTTCACGTCATCGTTTTCCTTTCATCCGGCCAAAAACGTATATTTTTCAGCGCCACGACAGATAATTGTAAATAGGCCCGAATTAACTGGCCATTTTTCCAGCTACCATCAACAAATAAAAAAATAACCCGCAGCCAACATTTCAGCGGCCAACCGGGGGGGATTAATCGCCAGGACCCCAACGGCGGTTGTTGGCGCGCGGAAAAGCCGATTTATAGCGGTACACACACGAATACGGTGGTGAATAAGCGCAATTACACGGTTCAAGGAGAACCAGTTTTTGGAACTTTTTTGTATAATCTCGCGTAGCGGTCATTTGTCACGCGACGGCTTTCGCTTGTCACACTGCATGCCGCAATACACACCCGTATTGCGGCATTCTCCTGAACTGGCACAGAGTTTCTTTTATAGACTATTATAAAAATCATCCGACCGCCTGGTCACATTATAGGATAGGATAAAAATGACCCTGCACTAAGACGTGTCATAAAAAAATAAAAAACTCTAAAATAATGAAAAATATAAATGCCACCTATAAGAAATATACAGTATATGCGGACAATAAACGAAAAACGATAAACGAAAGATATAACATTTTAATTTTATATGACAATACAAATGCGTAATAAGGAAACTTAAAAAAATTAAAAAATCTCAATAATCAATTATGCATCCCAAAACGAACCGGTTATCGATAAACTACAGGGAGAATACATAACGTACAATCCGCATAACCACTGCACTACAATAATCGATAAAAACACATGTAAAAATGCTCGAAGATGTCCTTGCAACTATATGCATTTCACGACGCTAAACTCGGTCATTTAGTTAAATTCTGTAACTTTAATTTGCAAAATGAGATTTTGCTCAACGGAAGTGGAACGATTTTGTAGCAACCTGTCTCTGCATATTTACTAGAAAAAATCCATTAAAATAAAAATTAAAAACCAAGAAAAAATTGCCAATAAATGAATAATTCGGAGAAAACAAATGGATAAACTTACCGGCATGTTCGACTTCCTCGATGAGACTGGCCTGCGGCTGGAGGATCTTCTCCTCGGCCACGGAGGCCAGCTGGGCCAGGGGGACATCATCCCGCGGTGAGCCGAAGGGCACGACATCCCCTGAAAACACTTCCAGGTAAACCATCCTCACGCCCATTCAACACGCGCCGAAATTAATCAAAAATTCCCGCAAAAATACCGACAATAAATTAATCGAATAAATAGTTAGTTTAAACTGCTGCGAAGATTCATAGCGGCTGATTCATTCGCCAGACCGACTGACAAATGCTGAACGCAACCCGGTGAAACAGCGAGTGTGTTCTCACGAGATTTTTCGTATGTAGAATGAACTGTGGTACAGACGAGTCTGTTGGCCAAAAAGCGGTTTTTATAAGCTAGCAGGCGAAATACCAGCGGAACGGTATTGATTCGACCGTCTATTGACTCTGCGGTAGCATTGCATAATCAGCTCGCGTTGTCATTGGTTGTGGTGCGGAGTGGTTCCGCCTCCACACACAAGTACTCAAAGATGGAATAAACAATCGCTAAAAATTCCGAATTTGAAAAAAATCTAATATTCCAACGATTCTGATAAAAAAAACTTTCAATCGGCAACGAAACGAACGCTATGCGATAAATAAGCGCGTGTTTTCTCTCGATTCCAGCGGGTATATTTAAACGCCACTGCACTACGTTTCCACACAATTCATACTGGTGTTAGTGGCGAATTCTCTAGTGGCAACGCCCAGTGACCGATTACCAAACTGTGCCAAAAAGTCAAATAATTCAACAAGCACGCACTAATTCATCTTCTTTTATGAATGTCAAAATTAGCGTTTCGCAAAATCGATCTGTGTTAAATAGTGCGATACCAACAAACCACAAATCAATTCAGTTTACGCGAATTTTTCACTCGTCTTTTAAGTTTGTTTTTATTTCACGGAGTTTCGTTTTTGTCTGTACAATCTAGATAATTTTGAATAAAACTGGATTAAATTTTGATTTAAAAATAAAATTTACACTAAAACAAAAACAAAATTCAATAAAATATAATTTTTCAACCGAAAGTTTATATTTTATCTGTTCATATTATATTTTGTTTTATTTCTTTATAATTTAGTTTTAAATTTTTTTATTCATTAAAAATAATATTTTTGCATTGTCGGAAATTATTTAAAAGTATACAACCGAGATTTCATATTTTATTTTTTATTTGTTTTTATTTTAACCGAACTCTGTATATTTTTGTATGGATCAATGCTTTACGTAAAATCGCGGCAATCCAAAATTTGGAGTGATCCTTAACAACCGCGGTCGGTTGCATCATTGTCAAATGATCGCAAATGTCGCTTACGAAACGCGGATCGCATGGTGGTGGTCGGGCCGGGGCCGGCACTTAAATCACCGTGGCATATTGTCCTCATGTTTAAATAAGTCGTAAAATAAATGTTAGACGGCCAAGGGAAAAAAACCCGTTTCATAACCGGGCCGAATTTGACATCATCTGTACGCGGCACACATCAGCGTAAACAGCGATCAAATTTCATATTATTTACACTAATGTCTGCCGGTTGGTGTGACACTGACGTAAGGCGATCAAGGCCCCATTTCGGCAAACAACAAGGGATCCCGATTTTCTAGGGATGCCAGTTGATCTTGAAGAATGCTTATATAAAACCCCAAATCAATATTTTCCCCTAACGAACAATTTAAAATGTAATAAAACATTTATTGTAAATTAACGGGAGAGAATTTCCATAAATGAATTGTGTTCAAATTAAACGTATTTACGTTTTTAGTTATGAAATTTATGTATCAAAGCACCTAGAGTTCCTAATAAAAAAAGGTTTACAAATAATTGACAACATTCGCGCTAATTTTTAACAAATTCAAGTAAAAAGGTATGGGTAAAATTATGTACCAATACAAACCAAAAAAAAAAGTTCATGCATACAATACATTATTTAAAACACTTGCAGTAAATGTTTTGCAAATGTTAAAAATTATATTTAAAAAAAAATTAAACAAAATTATATTTAAAAATTTTAATACAAAAAACATCAAAGAAAATAACAAGCAGGGAAATAAACGTTTTTACGTGATCGATCGATTTGAAATCAATCGTTGCTTCTCCGTCATTGCTACAGTAGCCGTCACTTTCTTTCAGTTCAATATTTCGGAAAGGGAAAATAAATAAAAACATTTATAAAATAAAAATGCAAAATTACTGTATACATAATGATCACGATATGGTCACATGCTGTATTTACGTATAATTGCGAAGACGGCTAATTTTCATATAGGATGACCGGGACCGCTACGTAAGCGCCGGCCATCTGTTTAGGCGCACCGACGGAAATCTCCTCTCCCATCTGAAGAGGCCTCATTACGCCGGCCAGATGATCCCCCGTGTTTGCATCCAGGCATTTTTTCTCGAGCAAAATGACAGCCAATTTGCATGTCAGCCCTGGTCGGAAGAATAGTGAACAGGAGAACACAAGCGGCACGTGAAACAGAGCGGACCTGACGCCGGTCCGGTCGGCGCATCATCCAGCAAATCCCCCGGAAACACCTGCCAGCGCCGTCCCAGATGCTCCGTCATGCGTCCACTTTATTTCTTGTACAATTCACAATTTTTACTGCAGTATCTATATGGACTCTCTTCATGCACGAGTTTTCCGAATAAAGGAATTAAGCTTGAACTTCAAATCTTCAATTATAAATTACAGTGAACACTAGCAATTTTTCAAACACCATAAAAATACGACAGAAATAGGGAATTCTTAGTACAACAAGAATTCACACTGAGCTACAAACTGCCAAAAAATTTAAATAATGATAATACGACATCATACCATTTCAAGTCACAAAGAAAACAGCGAAAAATAGTTGCAAATTTCGATTAATATTGTATAGAACTTCAAGCATGGTCGATTTTCCAGACGACTAGTATCTCAGTAGGCCTTGTACTACAATCTCTCACTGCAGTAGCAGGCATATTGCACAGGCAACAAGTACTCAACCTGTTTTTTTCCATTACAAAAATTAGAAAAAAAATCAATTTTCATTTCAATTTTACATCGGTATATTTTGAAAACCTATTAATGTTAATGTTTATATTTTAGTTTTTACGGTGGTAAAAAAAAGCAGGAGCTGTTACGGTTTGAATGAAGAAAGATATGTTCGTATAATTAACCGTATTCCAACCGGTTTATCACGGAAATGAGTAAGAACGTAATTCACCGATAAAATGGAGTCGTGATTGCGAAAGAGAGTTTTCCCCAACGACGGTTGGATATGCCAGCTCATTAACCTCTTTGATCGTGATGAAGAGCGTCTTTTCACGGAGCAGACACTTTATCATCTGGCCCACCATACATCATCTCGGCCCAGCACAAATTTACGTAATTCCGATCGGATGCCAACAATTGTATACGCGCATACACATCCGATAACATTTCATCAAAACATCGTAATTATAGTAGACCCACACAACGTTCTGTATGCCTGTACAATACAGATACATACTTATGTTATACACTCCCGGTATGTCGAAATAATTTTTTTTCTCATTTTAAAGTTCCATTCCAACGATAAAAAATTTTCCCAAATCGCAACAGGCAATAAAATCACCCGCCTTTAATAATTTAAAAAATATGCGTCACAGTTTCCTACAACAGAAAATTTTTATATCTGATCAAATAAACTGCAAACAAAACTAAAACCTGTTGAAACAAATTTTCGAATATGGCGGTAACATAAGATAAACACATACATGTTAAAATAATTTCATATTGGCAAAAACAATTACAAAATAAAGCAAATATCTGATTTCCTAGTACGTTTTTGGCTTTTTGCATTAAAAAACAACGCAGCTTGCGGAAATTCGTCTAAGCGACGATTACTTAAGCCGGTTTATTTTCGAAAGCGTCTTTTTATTGAATTTTAAAACTCGAAAAATTATCAGAAAATCGCGCCTGATTTACGTTTACATTTCTCCATAAAGTGATATTCGGAAAGCGGCAATTCGCGCGAAACTATCAAATAATCCGCGCAGAACGCCTACAGCCATAATACCGCTAATCCGCTTGCTGTTCCCTCCGTGAACCCAGTTTCCCAAAAATAATAACAATCACTCCTCCACTGCTTCACGGCGACACCGCCATAATCGCCGGGGCCGCAATCTCCTCAATTAAGAGCTTATCCTAAATGCCCCGTCCCCCTAATCCACCCCTCCCATTTCAGCCCACGTCCCTTTACAAAAACCCCCTTTAAGTCAACCTCATCTAAGCCGGTATATTAGCCCAATAATAAGCAGCACGGGATGTTTGTCGGGCCTATCAATTTCCCCTCACGTGCTGTATAAACGCCGCCGCAACAAAACATAATATCGGCCACGCTTATCACCGCAGCCGGTCACGTTGTCTCACCCATTACAATTAATTATTTATCACGCTAATCAACGCGACAGGATTGTTGCGTCTTACCTAATACGCGTACAATCTTCCATAGACATTTTCAGTAATTTAACCATAAGTGAATTTCTCGATTGGCAAATCGTCCACGTGTAAACAACAATCACAATTAACGCTTATTATATTTTTAATAATAATATTTTGCTAATCACTAGAAAAAAATACCGGAACTGAAAGCGCTTGCCTACTCTATTAATCCACTAGTATTGAGCACTGCAAAAAACGAATTAATTAACGAGAATAAAATTCGTTTAACCGAAATATTATAGAAAAAAATATTTGTGTGAATTGAAAGCTGAAACTGCCTGCATATCGTCAGCCGCCCACGCGGCAAATATATCTGTACCGGGAATTATTAAGAAAAAACCGGTTAAGGGATTTGGTCCGGTACATAGCACCAAATTCGTGTACATACACGGGAACTTTCGCTGTCGCGTACTACCAAACACGTTTTTGCATTGCTTTATATTTTGTAAAAGATTTGTATAGGCATGAAATCCGTTTTCCGCGCAACATCCGGTTCGGGAGTTAAAATTCGAAAGTTTAAATGCATTCAGGTAAAAAGTTCATATGGATCGATCCTTTCAAATTTTGTAGATGCATAACCATGAAGATCGTTCTTACACCGATCCACTGTTCTAGCATGCTTTTCAAATTTTAAAATGAATTTCAAAAATTTTAAAATTCATTTTAAAATTCGAAAAAAATCGTGGAAGTCTGGATCCGTGTAAGAACGATCTTCATGGTTATGTGCATTTACGTGCAAAATTTGAAAGGGATCGGTCCATAATGAGACTTTTGGTACACCTGAATGCATTTAAACTTTTTGGAATTTTGTTACCCTCATAACTCGGCAACCGGATGTTGCGCGCGAAAACGGATTTCACTCCTATGTATACAAATCATTTGTCTACACATTGTCAAAAAGCAACCCAAAAAAGTGATTGGAAGTGCGCGAAAGCGAACATTCCCGTGTATGTACACGAATTTGGTGCTATGTACCGGGCCAAATCCCTTAATTAAATCTTAAATACAGCGGCAATGATAACTATTCAAACACAAATAATTCCAGTTTCTTTCAGCAAATCCATAGCTCCATACAAAAGGGGGACAAAATGAGCTCCAGAAATATTTTCCGCAAAAGGAAACAAAAAAATCTTAGCAATTTTAAACGACCCGATAAAGATTATGGTAACCGCTCTGCAATGTTCTGGATGTTAGTGTTTCAGAGCCCTTGTACTACACTTTCACGGAAAAAATATTTACGAGTTCGGAATATTTACTCGCTGTGAACAAGGGATATTTAGTCTAATATTCCAGTAATTATGCATGATGTTAATTCCTTTCGGGAAGTAATACATCTCACGAGGAAGCATTCGAATCTTCGCAATATTCATTAAAAATCCTTCACAATTTAATTTAAAATATCATTGAAAATTTTAAATATGAAGAAACTAAATGCTTTCGGAAGTTACATTCTTATGCTGGAGCGTCAAGAAGACGGATTTAGATTACAGTAAATCAAATCGTAACTTACTTCGTATGCGAATTTCCAGAATCCCTTGTGAATTCCTTTTGATGAGCGAATTTGGTCTGAACATCGTCTGTAAAGAAAACAAAACAATTCCATCAATAAAGTCCATGTACAAATGAATTTCTCGACGGAAAGAAGCAACCATCATTGTTAAAAAAACCAGGAGCAATTCAAATAAATTTAAAAAAAATTCCCAAATGAAACGCGATCACAATTGTTAAATGTACAAAAATAACCGCTCACAAGTAAGCACACCTCACCGAAGTCTCAAGCGAAATGCAGTAATTTACAATAAACCAAGAAAAAAAATCCCGATGCAACGAGAACCCACGGAAATCGACCAACAACTTCCTAACGCGAGAAAAACCACTCTAACTCGACCACACACACCAGCAGGTCTTTAAAAGCCGGTTAGACCCACTGACTACCCTAACTACAGCCAAATGTCACACAGTGTTTGGATGCTCCCAATTTCTCCCTGCAGCCCCATGTTTCTTTGACCTCCTTTACTTTATATGCCACACATCGTCTCATTTTTCTGCCTATACAGTGCCCGGTGCCAGCGCGAACAAATCCATTTCCGTCCTGCTCTAGATTAGCCCCATTTCACACCCCATCCGCTGTTATACTGCAGCATATTGCTTAGATATTGCCACAACACACAAAGCGTCCCTTCAACCCGGCGTCCCGGCCAATTGTCCCCCTTGTGGGCTGATTGCGTACAGCCCATGGGCTTCTTCCTTCTCCGCGCTTTAACACCACGGCTGTGCGCGCGTCTTCATGGTACGCTGATTTTTTAAGTGCCCCGCAAATGGTCCACCGGGAGTTTCGTGTCGCGCGCTGTTTATTTAAAATATCAGGGACACTGATCGATCTGGTGGCAGTATTATTTTTAATTGGCCTGTTGTCACAAGGATTCTCCATGTATAACAGGAAATCTGAGTCAGGATGCAACTGAAAACATTTTGCGCTGCTAATAACATTTTTGCACTCTTTTTAGAAAAAATTTCAAGTAATTTCGTAATGAACCTATTAAGCACAAGCGAAGCCGGTTTATAATCCCAAAAAAAATTGTCCCCAGAGTTCCCTAGAAAAGTCGCGAAAAATTTTATTCTAATGCACAATTACACCAGCGAAAGTGAAACTTTTACCGCACATAGAAATCCTGCGGTATATTTTTTTCAGACGCTTAACTAGTCAGCGAGTCGCTGCCACAGCCACCGTTCTACGTCCCAACTGCGACGGCGCAGTGCATCTTCTTCAAACCTTTATTTTACGCAGAAAAAAAGCGCTGATACTGTGCTGTATTTACTTAGTTTGTTACAGCCAGAGCAAAAATTTAGTACTGTAATTTAAATTTGTTTTTTTTTTAGAATTCACACTGCTCGATTACATTACTATAATTTTTAAAACGTAAATAATCAGCGATTTTCGCCAGCACACCCTGTCCAGATAGACACCCTTCCTACTCGCCATCGGACCGGAAAAAATCGGATAATTAATTATTTCCAGCACCGCAAACCAGAATTCCTCAAATAAATCGTAATGCAAATTTTGTCCTGATTTTTACATTTTTCTGTGAGCAGTTCCACCGTCTGCACAATGACAGTAACACACTAAACCTTATAAAAATTAGAAACTAGGATAGTCAGGACAGCTGGGAAAACAGGCATATATGCCAACCGGTGAACAAGGCCAACTGCCACAGTCCCCCGACCCAATACATTAGATACACAACCTGCGAGAGAGCCCACCGGCCTCATCCCAGAAAGGCCGAAACGGTGACAGACAAACTGGAACGCGGTATCGCGACAATAAACATTCGATCGAGGGGAATCCGTGGATTCCTGGGCTGCTCCCATTGTTTCCCACCATAACACGCCCCACAGTGTAGATAAAAATTTCATAAAAATGATTATTAGCACCAGATAAACTGCACAAAATTTTGGAATCCAGCCAGCAAGAGAAAAATGAAATTCCAGCAGTCACGGTATAGCTCTCATCACGCTAAGCACTACAAGTTTACAACTGCAACGAATTTTAGCTAAAATTACTGATCTTGGCCAATACAAAAAAATACTGTCAACTGTCAAGTAATACTGCGTATTTTAAAAAAAATACTGTATATTTTGTATAGAATATTTACAAAATATTGTGTATGTAAGAAATGTTGTGTATATTTTGTATTGGGCGGAATTAAAAAAACTTGCATATTTACGAGTGTATATTTATATAAATAGTGTATAAATAGTGTATATTTAATTTAAATTATTGTACCTATGCTCGAAAATCAGTTAAGTTAATACAGTATGAGTACACGGTAATAAGAAACACGTCTTCTTGGATGAAGCAGTTGAAGCATGCGCCACACGACAACAATTTCTTTACTACAAACCAAATAAATTTCACAAAAGAACGAAATACAGACGACGAAATATTACGGCTCGACTCTTGAAGTTCAAGTTAGCTTCTAAAGGCCGAAAAACACTAAAAAAATATTCTATTTAGTGTTTTTGACCAGTTATACCAAAAACCGTTCATTCCGCTCGAAGATAGTCACTGTGGCGTCTTTTCGACTGCCTTTGCATCAGCACAGACAGCATAGATAAACGCCAGTGCATTTTCCCAGATTATTATTCCCAAAAATCCATCTTTGCCGCTCGATGCACAATTGCACATCAATTTTTCTACGCCGGCAGATGCATCTTTTTTATTTTTTCACAAAGGTTGTAAAGTGATGCATTTTACCAGCACACAGGGAAGTCGTCACGTTTTCACCGTCCCCTGATCACCGATAAAAGCCGGCATTATTCCGTTTTATTTTGCCGGGAGTGCGCTGCGCACCCGGTCATTATCACTCTGTTAACGCACTAAAAAAGGTGTATTACAATTTTTAACACCACCACAAAAACCATAAAAACCGATAAACCAGACGACAACGATCGCGCCGTATTTTCTACCGGAAAAACAGGGCTTCGAAGCGCGATTTCGCTGGCGAACACTAAGTCACAGTATCAAGTTGAACAACTTTCACTTCAAATTCATGAAAATGAAGAAACCATTAAAAAAATTGCTGATGAAAAATACAACAACAAAGTAAAATAAATTTTAAAAATATTAATGCGCTTGAAAAATTTTTTTACCAAATACACTTTTACACAAAAATTGCACAAACACAAACAAAATAAGCACAACGGTGGTTAAGATGAAAAAAATGCAGAAAAATAGAAAACATACAGGAAAAAATAATATCAATAATTTTTGATCCAAATCGAAAACTGACATGCAACAATTTAAAAAAAAAAGGTTGGGCAATTTTCAAAATCTGTTGCACAAATTTCGATGGCGAAATTGCGAAATACCATAATAAAAAAAATCTTTTGCGGTGTAGGAATTGAAAACGGCGATTTATTCCACGCTGCAAATATTTCTGATTTATCGTGCTGCGAAAAAAAACGATGACGAAATGTTTGACCCGAGATAAATCAAAATTCCCAATTAAAACACCACCGTGACAGATTGCACAACGTAGCGGAAGCAGCGCAACTGTTCCGTAACGCGTCAGCTAAATCAGCACATTTTTTTGGACGATACCACACACTCGACCGACATTCCGTCCACGGCCGGCATCGTGGTTAATAAAGTTCGATGCCCGGCAAAATGCTGAGCACACACAACAGCTATCAACATGATCGAGATTTATTTGCACAGTTTTTTTCTATCGCCGCTGGACTGATTTATTAAACAAGGATGGATACCCATCACCCGTCCTAATTTCTTCAATAAACTACGCATCTGCAAATCGATACCGAATTCCCAAAAAAAAAATATTACTGCTGTTGCAGCTTTGGCGAACACCCCACTTTTAAATTTTGAAAACTCCTGACAACAATAGACTGCAGCAACCAGAAAAGTACTGTGGAAACTGCAGCAAAACAGGCAGAAAAAATGTTGCAAAAAAACGGAAAGTCGTAAGTACTGGGCAAATTTGAAATAACCAGGTACAGTTGTGCATCGCACTGTGAGCAGCGAAATCTATAAATTCTTTTCCAAATACATCGGTCTCGTTCTGTAATGTTGCAGTTTTTTTCCGCGAGCCGTCTAACTAAAAAAAATTTAAAGAACGGCTCTCGCCACTGATTCCTCTGAAATGAGATTCTGGTATGAGATTTTAATATGAGATAAAATTCAGAAATTCACGTCAAAAATCTGCAAAAAATATTTTGGCAAAGCATTTTTACACCAGTTACCGTTAGGCAATTCCCAATCAGACTTGGTGCCCATATCTTTTATAGTTAGCCATTGCACTACAATTACTCCTACTCACCAAGGACAATTTCCAGCAAGAACGGTAACGTTTAATATTTTCACAAAAAAATTAAAAAATCTTTACTTAATCGAATTATTCGCTGTTATAGATTGACAAAAAATACCATAAAAAACGCCATTACAGCCATTCACCATTGAAAAGTTTCTCAGGCAAAACACAACGGAAAAACTTGTCAAATGGCACCGGCGCACACATCGCCCGCATCCATCGGCGGCTCGCTTAGCGCGACGCCTGTCAGAACGCGGGAAAATGTCGGCGTGGAGCGAAATGCGGGGAAGAGCAGCAGCAGCCGGCACGTCCCCGGCCGTTGAGTGCCAATTGATGGCGCCAGGGACGCCCGTGTCTTCCGTGTATATCCCGCTTATATACAGCATAGACACGCGCTGCAGCTCCCCATCGATCGCGCCCGGCTTTTTATCATCACCACCATCGGAACTCCATAAAACCAGACCCCACGCGCCACATATACGCCGTCCAGGGCTCTACCCCGGCTCGTAAAAAAACGCAAATTATTTTATGGCTCCTCGCATTTACGGCCACTGCATGTGCCGGCATTTTCATGCCTATTTTTCCGGCAGTTTTATACGCGGCGCTGTCGATTATCGCCGATGATTTTACCATTTTGGAATGTTCACGTGGAGTAATTCTGGTAATAATTTTACGGTTATGTATATTTCACAGAAAGTTCGGTTTTATTCCCGCTGTTCGTATGAGTAACGTGCCATTTTGTTAAAAATTTATTAATATTGTCCATCATCCGGAATACCGAGGAATGTCTCTCTTATCGCCTGCCGCTCCAGGGACGGATCAGGATTACATTCGCAAAACGCATCAATAAACTGCTACCTCGTAGAAAATACGTGTTACTTAATCATTTTCGTAAAACAGTAAAAATAGTATTACCGTAACCTTCGGTTCCTTAACAACAAGACCGGGATTTTATTGTAAAAATGCGAAGAAAACCGAAGGCCACCACTTCCCAGTTTCGACAAGATCAAAACACATGTAATCCTTCTAAATTTTCACATTATTTTTTCACCTTCCAGGCTTCAGTATTTTATATATAAATTTTTTTATAACAAAATTGACAAATTCATTGGCTACCTGCTGATGTTAAAATAATAATTACTACGCATTTTCGCGACCAAAATTTTTATACTTCGTAAAAACGTAAACCACGTCCTAAGTCGAAGAATTCAATACAGTACTGTTCTACGGTGATTGTCGGCAAAAAAATTGAACGAATTTCTTATAAGATTACAACAGCGGATAAAAAAAATTAAAACTACGAGAATTTTTTTTAAAATTTTCACAGCCGAAAATATTCTCAGCCTTCTATGCCATTATTTTCTGAAAACAAATTTAAAAAAATTTCAAATTAAAGAAATCGGTACTGGAACCAGATAGTCGGCAAACGAAAATATAACGGATGTATTTCAAAATAAAAAAGAGGATTCACTGCAGAAATACAGCCCGCTTTCTGCGTTATTATTTTTCTTACGAGGAACTTAATCCGACCGCCATGTACATGGTAAATTACGGGGAAACGCTGCTTTTGTTACGCGCGCCTACGCATCTGCCAGCGAGTGGCGAGCGGATGATACGGCTCACGCCCGAGATTAGCCGGCAAGGTGCATTAGACAAATGGAGATCCGTTGGATCGCGGGGAAATGAAAAGCCGCGCGTCCGTAAACGCCGGCAACCTGGATGACAACCAATATCCGTCGGCTTGACGTCACCGCGCGCTCCCATTAAGTCGGCTAACCAGCGGCAATAATCTACCCCGGCCAGCACACTTCACCGGGCCCCATAACATAAATTAATCAACAAATCACTATTTCGCTGTAATACAAATACACACTGAATACGCAACCGGCCAACACATATTACGCACGACTCGCGCATGCGCTCATTAATAATTAATGGAAAGCGTAAAAATGTAACAAACAGCAACCTAAATAATCCAAAATCAGCGCGGCAGTTGCGTGAAAAACAATCATTTATAACCAAATTTGATGCTACTCCCGGATGAAAACCCAAGGTTCTACAATCCTACAGCCGTAAAAAATTCATCCATTATTATAAAAAAAAATCCATCCGGCCCAGAAAAATTATATCCCATAGAACGTACCGAAAACTGATTCCGAAAAATCAATCACAGCACCCAGTAAAAAATACCGGAAAAGCAAAATAACCCATGAAAATTTTCGAAAAAACCTGGAGACCACGAAGAATATTTTTTGATACAAATGTACCAGAAATTAAATCAGAAAAATCAAACCCAGCACTATGTACAAAACATGTACCAGAAAACTAAATTACTCAACGAAAAATTTAGAACAAAAAAACCTGGAGACCATGAACAAATGAAACAAATGTACCAAATGAATTTTTCTGAAACAAAATGTACCAGAAATTAAATCACCAAAAATCAAACCTAGCACACGATGCAAAATAGGTACCAGGAAGACCAAAATATCCAATGAAAAGTATAGAAGAAAAAAATCTGGAAATCACCTGACAACCGAGTGTCGCCGGGTGAAATGTTAAGAAAAATTACACAAACACGACACGTCGCGTACTTGGCTGTCCGCTGTGGCCTGAGCGGAGTTGGGCGTTGGGGCGTGAGCAAGGACGTCTTGAGATCGCCAGTGAGCCGGCGGCGGCGGCTGTCCCTCCCGCGGGGCCTTTCGCGCCGGCGGCCAGCACACACTGGTGGTGAAGGGAATCATCTGGGGGTCCGGGGGCACCCGCTACCGCACTCCGCATCCACCATCAACAACCAAGATCCCTCCGTTAACATACACCATCCACAACCGAACAACAACCAGACAACCACGGGCTCATCACTCCACCATTTCCCTGCATTATCGGTCCAACATACGCTCCAATGACACGGCTAAATGCAGCGCTCGCAACGGCATCACGTCCAGCAGAAACTAATCTGCAAAACAAAAAAATTTGTTTTACATTCAACAAATAAATTTTGTAATTTGTGGGGTCAACAAGACCGGAACCGCAGCACTAGGCCCATACACTACGTAACTCGCATAACGCAATTGTAGAATTATATTACGCTTTGTAAATACTTATTCAGCAACTCTACTGTCGATAAATGATAAGAAAAATTATGCAGGCACGCTTTACGAAGTTCATTAAGCGATTTTATCGTTGATAAATTTCCAGAAAACTAGCCAGCAAATACCGTCTGCAAAATTCATCCAGCACGTTTACTGTCGGTATATGCTCAAAATTGTGACAAAAATTCCTTTAATAATACACATTTAAATTAGAACAGGAACATGGACCTGTTATTTATAAAGCATAATTTTCTGGAACAACAACGGCTATTTTCTCAGAAACATAACAACCGTTGGTTAAGAATCGTCCATTACAAAAAACCAAAAAAATTTTATCAAATTTTTGTCATTAAACAAAATTTGAAGAAAAAGCTACAAAAATTTTAGATACCGTGTTCATCAAGAAAACTAAATTTTCTTAGTCATAGTTTCAGATACCAGAAGAATAAACTTTCAATAAATAAAAAAAAATCAAGAAAAACAAATTTCTTGGTCATAGTCTCGTAGATAAAAAAATACAGTAATTTTCTGCGACGCAGACAGAAACCGGTCAAACTCGGCGGAAACGGGAGAGAAACGCCGCACACATCGCAGCCCCCACCCAACCGGCGTTCCCGGATGGTATATCCCGGGGAATAGTCCCGCTACTGTGGCTATACAGCGGGATGCGCAGTGAGGCACACAAGACGCTTCACTTTCTTATTAGTTCCATTACATTTCCTCCAGCCACGAGTGGACGGGACACAATCAGCGCGACGCAGTCAGCAGCTCGTGTGTCAGGAGCGCTCAAGTTACCACTTTGCCTCAAGTACCTCGTCCACTACCTGCACGACATACACACACAACAGTCCCACTTCCACATGACTGCGCCCAAATCACGCTGGCAGCCGGCAGATTTATCCATGATTTTTCCTCCCTCTATACACACAGCGACTCCACCCAAGCGGTAATTCTGCTATTTTTATCCTATGGATTTTTCAATTAAATTTCCATGATAATTGTGTACTCGCTGTTGGGAAGAAAATTGCGGTGAATCCGCACATATTCGAAAATAAAAATTCCTGTATTCACAGACACAAAAAAATCCTCAAAACCATCGAAAAATTCTTCACTGTTCTATCTACACTTTTTTTTCAGGCAATCTTCACAAGAACGACAAAGTCAAAAATTTCAAATGAATCTGTAAAACCGGAAAATAAAAAATTAAGATTTTTTTATTGCAAAAACTCCCGAAAAACGCCAAAAAAATAGAAAATCATTTGAAAATGCTCAACTCTTCAGTTTACTCTTTTTCCATGCAATCTTTCATCAGAACGACAAAATCGGAATTCTTCTATTGCGAAAAATACTACTAAAAAATCAGAATAATTTTTTTAAAATAAATAATACTAAATTTATTAGTAAAAATAAATTCCAAATTATTTATGGGCAAAATACCTCTTGCAAACCGGACAATCTTGCATAAAAAAACCGTCCGCGCATAAATATGATTAACGCAAACGGCAGGGAAGCCCAAACGGCCACACAAATCGGTGGGCGCGAACACACTGATGAAAACGCTGCGGCAGTAAAACATCAGCGGCAAAAATCATTTACTCGCACCGGAACCGTCGCCGTGGCCCAAAACTATTCTGTTACAGTCTCTCTCTCTCGTTCTCTACCGCATTCGCTCTGTCGTCGGTGTGTGTGTCGCTGGCCGTGTTTTTTCACCAACTCCCCGACCGGAATGTAGGGGAGCAGTTAGCGTTGCTCGGCGGTGCCTAGCATGTCACCGGTGCGGATACAATACCATAAATAACCGTAGAAGATGCCATTTGTCATTAATTTATTCCATAGCTCTCATTCCATCACCCCCAGCACATATATACATCGCTCGCCGCATATATATACACACATAAATACGCACCCGCGTTACGCGCTGTACTACAGCGCTAATGAGCGCCGCCGCGGCGCAGCGCCAGCCCGCTCACCGTTCGTTCCGACGTCCATTCAAAAAGTTTTTACGACGCGGAAACGTAACGAAAATGACGGTTTAATTTATGATCCGCCATTCTTAATATGGCAAGAAACCCGACTGCTACAAGATTTTTTTCTCAATTTTTTATTTGGTTATTATTCGTTACTCTACTTTTTTTGAATCTTTTTCCAACCGAAATAAATATGCCACTTACGATCCGAAAATTTGAGAAGAATATAAAAATAAAAATTTAGCGAAACCAACCAAAATTAAACGATTAATCATATTCAAAACACACCAGGCAATATTTTTTAAATACACAGAATATATGTACGGCAAACTCTTCTGCAGAAACATTCTGAAGATTCAACTGAAATAATTTTAAAATAGTCGAAAAAGTATTTACTGCAGTAAGAGTATCAAGAAATATCAAGAAATCGGCTCGAACTAAACCTTGTTTTTAAAATTCACGGAATACATGGCAAAGTTTTTGGCAAGAAATATCCGACAGAATTAATCGACATATTTGAGAAATTCAAGGAAGTATTAACCGGATCAGAGCAACATTCAAATAATCAAAAACTTATTCGAGACGGAATTACATATGTATTATAATTTTATAAATTCCCAAAATACAGATACAAGTATGGGAAAAAACTCTGCAAATAAAATAAAAAAATAAATAGCAATCATTTTAAAACTATCACAAATATTTTACCGGCATGCAGCGAGACGCAATTAAATATGGAATAAATTTTTAAAAAAGTCTATTAAAACGCAATACATGTCCTGATCAAAAACACGTTCCACCCTGCAGGACACCCACCCACCACCGCGCGGAAAAATCCACCAACCGCCTCTCCCGCGCCCCACACACCACCATACGGTCCCGGTTCCCGTGCACGTACACGCTTCTAACCGCGACGCGCGCGTCACCGTCGAGAGACCCGTGCTGTTTACACAGGCGGACAAACAAGCCCAGGCACCCACTTACAAAGTTACACGGCAGTCAGTCGGGGTTAATAATAATCATAACAATCATCATCAAACAATCCGCAAAAATCGTTCCCAACCACCACGTGTCCTGAGAAAAAAATACCCGAGCTCCTGAAAAATCCAAAACTGCTCCGCAAAACGAGACGAGAGCTTACAGTAGGAGAGTTAGTTGCCCGTCGATTGCGTGCCAGAAGCTAATCTCACGGCTGTGAAGTAGCATCTCATCTCGCGCACGTCTGTGCACATACACACACATTTTCTCCCCACACTGTACTTGTAGTGAGGCTGCCAATTGGCATTACACGATACAGTCCTAAGGACCACCAAAGACGCACATGTGCCACACACCCGGCTCTGTGTCTCTCTCTCTCTTCGGTACACGGACACTCCGATCAATAATAATCCCCTTTTTCGCCCAGCCAACGCTCCGCACTCTCTCCCTTTCCGGTGCCAGGGAATGCCAGCGCGCGCTCTCGTAGACGGATGATTCTCATCGTGCGCGTGTGTTGCGCGTTGGCCGAAGCTCAACCAGACGTGAAACACACCGGCCACTTCCCCCTTTTTCTTCCCCGAACCGCCTCAACAGCCCTTCACTCGGCGACCGGTGCCGGATGCGGACAAGCAGGGCAGACGACAAAAATCAGATTAGAAAATTTCCCGACGGTTTTTGCCAGTCGCAGCATTTTTCTTGGAATTTCTTCCAAAAGAAAAATGGGAAACAAAACCTAGCTACAGAAATATTCGCGAGAAATCACGCAGTTTGAAAACAATTATTAGGGAGTAGTTTAAGCCCGTCGATAAGCTCTGGATCTGGAAACGGATAGAGGAACGAGAACCAAATTAGAAAATTTTCGATGGAAATGTTGAAAGTTTTTTGCAAAAGTTACTTACAAATTACAATTATTCCAGTAAATTGCTCAAAAAAAATGGCATAGACTGAATAATCAGCACGCAAAATTACACATAGAAAATATATAAAGCTGCTCGATGGTAAAGCGCAGCGGTTTTTTACTAACGTCATAATTATTCTGCAAATTTCTTCCAGCGAAGGAACGCCAAAGAAAACATACAAGCTCGTAATATTTAGTCCAAGACATAGTAGCCACCGTTCTACGATCTCTCTTGAAATCATAAAGAATTTCGACTGTCGCAAGGATCTTATGAAATGAGAAATAATCCCACATTATAGAACAACGTACTGCACACCCAGTAGAAAAACAAAATCAACCAAAAAAAAGGAAAAATTCAAGATTAAAATGGGAAAATCAAATTAGTAAAGCCAACAGCAATACAAAAATAATGTAATCGTGTAAATAACCGGAGCACCATTGGAGGAGATGGCAGCATTTGATATCCTCTTGCCCGATGAATTAATAATCACATGGCAGATTAATCAGATAAACGGTACACACATTTTCCCGCTGCCAAAATCACCACAATCAAGGGGTTGGCAGCAAAAAATTAATTAATCGTTACCAGCGCGCCGCTCTCAGGCATGCCATTCTATTTCCGCACACACGGCTTCTTCATAACTACAACTCCGCATAGTGGAAATTTTTTCGTGACTCGACTTCTTTTTTGTTTCGTATGAAAATTTCGCAACCAATTCACCAGCTCAAAAATTATTTAAAAAATTAAGGAAATGAATAATCAAAATTATTCAAGTAACAAGATATAAAATCGAGATATGTCTTTAATACCAATACAATACTTTAATACAAGATATGTCTTTAATACCAAAAATTTTAAAAAATAAATTCTCGTAAAAATTATTCAAAGATATTCCATGACATTAAGTTACGTTTCCGGCTGAATAAGCATTTGTACAAATTCCCTCCAGACAGCCACGTTAGGAAATCAGCCGTATCAATTAAGATGCCAAATGCACCTGACGAAGTATCCATTCAGAGT